GGGCACTCGGCACTCGCTGTGTGTCATTGTCAGGCTGGGCTGTGTCTGTGGCTGCTGCCCTGCCCAGGCACAGGGCACAGCGCTGGTATAGCTGTCCCCTGGTTTGCGTGTGCCCCTGTTGTCTCAGCAGCGTGCCCTCATGCAGGGGAGCAGTCTCTGTGTGTCAGAGCAGGYTCACAGAGGGGTTTTGTGGGGCTCCTCTACAGGGTGGGTTTGGTGAGGGCAGCCCTCCTCTGAGTTGTTGAAAATCAAATCCTTTTACCCACCAGGCGGCCCTGGGGATCGCCAACCTGATCGTTATGGCCATGGTGGAAAGCGGCGTTTCTCCTGAGGAGGCCTCCCAGCGYGTGTGGATGTTTGACAAGCACGGTTTGCTGGTGCAGGTAGGGGCACACGGCGCTGGCAGTSCCACGGTGCGGGTGGCCGCTGCTGTCCCTGTCCTTGTCACAGCAGGAACCGCTGCTCTCCCTGCAGGGCCGAGAGCAGAAGGTGGATCCCCACCAAGAGCCGTTCACACACCGGGCTCCAGAGCAYATACCAAAGACCTTTGTGGAGGCGGTGAATGTACTTCGGCCCTCAGCTATCATTGGTAAGTGAGGGTTTTTTGGTTTCTATGATTTGGTTATTTGCTGCCTTTAATTTGCTAACGTGGCTMTGGGGAGCTCGGCGACACTGACCTGCACTTCTGATGAAAATGTCAGGCCAATTTTCTGCTTGAAAATACTCGGACCTGTGGTGCTCCTTCTGCACCTTGTGTCCTTGGTGACAGAGAGCAGCCACGACCRTTGTGTTTTCTGCTTTTCTCCTCCYTAACKTGAGTAYRTTTGGTATTTCCTGGCCCTCTTTSCTCCYGTCAGCTTCTCTGGTCAGACYGTGCCAGCAGCACAGTTGSGTCACTGGCATCTGTAGGTATTTATTTACAGCTATCCACAGAGCAGATAGGATTACAGGTGTTCCCTGGTATGACTGCAATTTCCTTTGCACTTGATCTATTTGGAAAAAGTGGTTTTGGCTGAAAACCCTGAAGTATGCAGCCCCTGTAAAAGTACATGGCATAGTTGTGTATTTGTACCTCTGGGTCTTGGTGTGGCAGGAGCACCAGCTCAGGTGTGCCTTGCACAGCGAACACACAGCTGGGGTGAATCATCCAAAAAACCCTGGAATTCACACCTGCTTGCCAAAGACAGTGCTCTTGGTACACACCAACACAAAAAAAAACCCGCGCTTAGGCTTTTGGAGCACACTCGGTACCTGTTCCTGTGAAAATGGTGAATTTCAATCAGGCAGGAGCAGTGCCTGGTTTCCATCTCCAGCTGCCAGA